GGGGCTTACTGACCGCATGAGGTAGCGAAAGACCTCCTCCTTGCTTACGTCCCCGTAATCACTCTGCCAGGCGTGGCCGATTGTGAAACGATGGAAGCGCAGCATGTCAGTCACTGGAACGTGACAGATGGAAGCACCGAAGAGGTCCGGCCGCTGGTTGGAACACGCGCTGACCAGAAGTCCGCCATTGCTTCCGCCCTCGATTACTAACCTACAAAGTGTCATACGTACGGCGGTAGAGGACCAAACTGATGATCGAAATTGGAGTTAGTAGTTTACTTTGATTTGTCGACTAGGATAGAGGGTCACGAAGCCTTTCACTAAAGAACACAGCCTTTTCAATTATAGATTTTGAAAGAAATCAGGCAGAATTTCGGCAAAATCGGAGGTTGCCAGATAGAGGAAAAAATGCATATGCTAGTTAATATCAAATAACTGCTTAAAGCTCTAATCGCTTCGTGAGTTCCGGCAGCTAATAAAGGCTTGTCCATTTCAGCCCCGTGTCTTGGGGTCTAAAGCGTCTGTTATAACATAAATCGAAATGAGTCGAAAAACAATAACCAGAAAATGCAGCTGCGTGAGCTTCAAAAATAAAGTTTTTTGAGCACACTAGGCGGGGCCAGGACAAACCTTTCAGGAGAAGTGTACTTCAGTTCGATCAAGGACTCCGCCGCGGCGATGAAGTCGTCGAAGCAGTTCTGCTTATTTAAGATTTTCCCGCCACTGTGCCACTTTTCACCATACTCTCTATATAAAAGGGAAACAAAAATGGCGATAACTGGGTGAACATGTAGTTTGGTAGGGAAAAAAAAGTTTTGCAAAACCGGTATATCAACCAGAAATCAAATAGGGAAAGACTGGCGGACCCACTGATTTGACGCATCCCTCCCCGCAGCTATGTCAAGCAGTGGGAGAATACCGGTTACACATGCGAGCATGGAATTTTATAGCTAGTATATGTGCTGCCAGTATGCTAAATTACAACATCAAAGAAACTTTTGTAGGTTCAGTGTATGGAATTTCGTTGTGATAACAAGGCGCTCAGCCCGATACAGTACGTGTCCGATTTTGTAAAATGTCAGATGGAATTCTGAAATGCATTTCAAACTAGAAGAGGCTATTTAAGTTAGGTTCTAATAGCGAACAACATACGACACAAATTTATGGTACCCCGGGAGGCCAAGTGTTGGATGCACTTATTTGCGGCGGCGAACTGGGCAAAAACTGCACCGATACAAATCATAAATAGACATTTTTTGTTGATTTCCGACGCCCTTATGCGTTCAAATACAGTTTATAGAAAAAGTAATCTAAACATCCTATCTCGTATTAACTTGCTTATGGAGCATGTTTTCGAATTTTATACTCTAAGGAAGACTATTTATTGGTTTTTACAGTTTCCAATTATGGAATTTTTCAAGGCCGTACAATGTTCATTCAAACCGAACCGTATCTATTCGCTTAGCAATCACCCCTCAAGAGGTATACATGTAAACATTTTTTATATACATCGGGTGGTATATTTTGATCTTTATATATGGATTTTAACCCCACTTTGTTTATTCGAACTACATTAATGAGATCATCTACGCACGGGATAGCACTGTTTTGAAGGAAGCCTAATCTGGCCTACATTTTGCGGCCCATTCAAGCAACATTCTTCATTTAAAGGGCATTTATGAATGTCCACTTAACGACATGCGCAGACAAGGCATTTCATGCCTTAACAACTCCGTTGGAGAAGAAGGGCCTACATGCGTGCCCTGTCTATCCCCAGTAATATATAATTCGAGTGAATGTCACCAGTTTCATTGTTCTTTCGAAGTTGAAAAAATACAGCTATCGTCACCACACATTATTCTGCATACTTGTGTTAGGTCCCCTATAACTTAACTAAAAATGTCCGAAATTAGAAAATCGGGTGACAGTTACAGTTAGGACCCACTAAAGCTTATTTTTTCCCATAACTGTCTACTTACTTCGTAGCAATAGGCCTGCTTTGATTTACTAATTAGGCATTGGCTGTACGACGCATATTCTTTTTAGTTAGTTTATTTCATTTGCTTCCTCTATTTGACAACATGTGGTTGCCTTTTGGCTCAGAGGCTACTGCGAGTTTTAAAAAAATGAGGAAAAACCAACCTTTAGACATAGAGTCGACGATGGTATCCCATTGGGCATTATTGTTACCTACTGATTGCATGTCTCATTTTAATTATCGCGACCAAATATTTGGCTATTTAAAATATTATTCCTTTTGATTTCTACTTCTATATGCTCCATGTTTTTAATTATTTTTTGTTTGCACTGATATGCCCCATGCATTTAACCACTATTACAACCGATTCTGTATTACGGAAGCTTGGGGACTTCGCGTGCTGTAGTGGGCCCTGAATGTAACTTTAACCGAAAATCCTGTTCCATAGGGTAACGAACCCTGCCCTGTTGGTTGTCCGTCTTCTAACTTTTTCGGAAACATTGCGGTTTTTAACTTCCCTCAATCTCCTAACATGGGTGATGGTGATTTATATACGGAAAAGAGTGGGGCCGAGAAAGAGGATTTGGGAAACACTGTTCTTAGCCGCCATCTCCGAGGATTAACGGCTGCCTACACAGGCAACTTTTGAACGGTCGGTGAAAAAAAACACGCCTCAGTCCGATTCAGATGGTTCTAGAGCAAAAAGGATTGAATTCTAATTTTTAAAAATAGAATGGAAATACGAAATTTTAAAACATTATGATTAGGGATAGTTTAAAAAATAGATGGGGCGATTTATTAACTCATTGTTCAGATAATCGAGTTTTTTAAGTGTGAGTTAATATTTGGACCCTCGGGATGTGCGACTGAAGCAAGTCCAACTTCCCTTTCAATCGGGCGTCGTGGTCAGACACATCTAATTTAGTAGGTCTTAGTTACAGCTCCTTGAAGTAAATTCCTACGACAGTGCATTAAAGACCGGAGCACGAAATCATACCGCTTTGCCTCAGGGAAGAGGAAAGCTCGTCAAAAAAGACAAACAGACCCTGAGGAGAAGAAGATGCGACTGCTGGGACACTACTTTTATTCGCCTGACGTTTCGACATCCCTCACAGATTCTTCATCAGAGACACCAGCAGAAAACAGAAGCATGAACGGGAACCTAAGTCGATGAAACTGTCAAGTTGCCAGCGACCTGACAGAGAGACTTCCTTCCACACTCCAGGTCCCTGCGGACCAGCCAAAGACTATCATGACTAGCGTGTCATGTTGGCACTCGTCATAAGATGAGCGAGGTAATGACCGTTAAACGGCGAGAGGACGCTCGATTGCCTCTAGATGCGGTGTAACATATAATCTGCCTCTTATTCTAACTTTTTATATAACTTATGATTAAGCATAATTTTCCAAAGAACATCTATGCATTTTCATAAAGTAATTCTTTTGTTTTAAATATTTATGTATCTTTTTCTATATCTTCTACATTTTAATTTTATTAGCACAACATTTATTTTACCCTACTGACAATTAGTAAGTGGAGGTACCATTTCGCCTCATTATTACCACAACCGATCATGATTTGTATGAACGGACATTCTGAATTTCTTCATCATAACCTAGCCTCTATTCGCATGAAAATTGCTGTACATCATTCCAATCAGGGACGCATACACCCCCCAGCAACACGCAAAACGCACCACAGTCTATTTCGACAAACAAATAAGAAGAACTTCCAGAAGATACCGTTGATTTGACTAAAAATGTCTTCCCAGAACTTAAAGAATGTTTTCGTTTGCCTAAGTACCAGGGGATTCGAAAATATATTCTCCATCATCGTTGACAGGCTTAAGAAAGAACCACAAACATAATTGATTAGACTAGTGTCGAACGAAACCAGCTGGTGTTTGCTAATCATGTGCCACATGTTGGGTTTGAACATCCGCATCCGAATGTGATAAGCAGCGAAGTTAGGCCTAGGCTACCGCCGAATGTCAGATCTGAATGGCCAAATAAAAATAAATTGCAACAGAAAAGGCTGCAATTCTGGATATGCTGTTATAAAATCGTCTTGTGCAAACGGGTCAACAATTCAATAACTTTGATGGACGTCAATCACGAAGGTGAAGCCTTTACGGTATTCTTCAAAGTCCTTCAACAATTTTTGAAGATGGAGAAAGACATCCAGAGACTGAAACTGGGCATAAAGAAACTAACTCGCCTTTTACACGGGGAGAAAATAGTTGCCTGTGGAAAGGGGCCAAAGCAGGGCAACAGAAGCTGTGAGGGGCCTCAAGGCCTTATCTTATGGATGCGAATTTGACCCACTTAACCTTTTTCCTCTTGAGTACAGGCAGATCCGAAGCGCGAGCCAGTAATAAGACGGGGCGAGAACTACATGACGCCTGAGTATCTGACATCAACTCCGTCAACAGGCATGTTGAAATGGGCCCCTGCTATCAGGCTCTTCGTTCGTGCGGTCCAGTTCCTGTCCAAGGACACGTCATGACGCAAGCCGGGACGACGAGGTGACAGGATGGGCGCATGGACTTAGCCTTTCACGACGGCCACACCCCTTCCCCCATCTTCTCGTAGGTGGAATACAAAACATGACAATTCTTGCTGTACTCTCTGCTGTCTCTGAGGGTGGCCTCCTGTATGAGACCGAAAGCTCAGACAAGTTTAAGTGCGGTCTTAATGAGCACACCGCTGTCTTAGTTGCCACAAGAAAGAATTTTTTTTCCTACGGTTTATACAAAACGTACATGTGAATTTATAAGGTTATAGAAGATTATCAGAAAGAAATGCAGACTATTTAATGGGTCGCTTTTATCGAGTGAGGATTTTGCCAGCCACCGAAAAGAAGAGCATTCGAAAGCCGGCAGGCATCCCACCGCGTCTAACGCATTTTGATATCATGATAATCCAAGCCAATAAATAAGGTACGGCCTAGAATTCGTGTAAAATGCCGACATATGTGAAAGAATGATACTCTTCCACTAATCGTCATTGAGAAAGGTTGTAATACTGATTATCGCGTAGTTTATCCTAGGGTCATTTCTGCCACGATAGGATGCAGGCCTTTTAACGAACTTCGTTCTGACCGCTAACAAAACGTATGTACTGTAAAAAGTGGCTACTTAAGTAGTAGGCATTTTTATCGTTGATTTTGACTGCCTTAATAAGTTCAAATATAGTTCATGGAAAACACAAGAAATAATCCCTTCTTGTAGACGGTTCGGTTTTAAAAAAAGTGTATAAATTACCGAATAATTTTTAAGCCTAGTGACTGCTACACTTGAATCCAAGATT